AGCAAGATCTCACCTCTAAAAAAAAAAAAAAAAAAAAAAAATCTACACTTATAAATTAATGCATATAACTGCCTTAACAGATTGTTTTTAACATACTGCCATCAAGTGAGAATTAGTTAATTTTTCAATCATACAGAAATTTTGAATTTATTAATTTAAGTAAGAATAATTTTGGATTCATTGTTAACTTTTTGTTCTTGGATAAATATTTGCTACAATACGATATACTTTTTCAGATATTCGTGTTATATTTTATTACTCATCATAATCTATTATTTGTTCTTCACTGCACGGTGTGAAATTTATCGAGCTATATGAAAAATAAAATAAAATTTTCAAAAAAACTGTTTAGTTAAAAAAATTTTCGCTCTGAAAAATACCAAAATTCTGTAGTGTCAAAAGAGCAATGATCTCTTAGATGGCATTTTTGAATTCTGTAAGGGTTTTCGAGATAATTTGTGCAGATTTTGTCTTTAATTTATCCTCACTAAAATAAGTCAGAAATGTTTAGAACAAGAGACAAGGAGGACCAAGCAAATCCTATTCCAGTGGCCTCTGCTTATCCAATGGAGTAGGGAATGATTTAGAAATGCTGTTTTAAAATTTTTGTGGCTCAGAGGATAGAGCGTTTTCCTTCCAATGAGGTGAACTGGGCTCGAATCCCAGCAATGGCTGGTAGATACGAATTTCGCACTCGACTCGCACCGACCTTAGTGCTGACGTAAAATATCCTCAGTAGTACACGGATCATAAGTTAGGGTCCTCTTGCCGTCAGGCTAACTATGGGAGGTTTTCTTAGTTTTTTTCTCCTTGTAACGCAATTACGGGTTAGTTCCATCAAAAAGTCTTCAACGAGGGCAAATTTCTTCCAAAACTTGATCCAGAAATTCCTTTGTCTTCTGGATCGGGTTCAATATTACAAGGCTATGAAGTTGAGCACTAGTAGTCGTATATTCAAGATCGGGTCGGTCCCGCAGTGGACTGATCGTTAAGACACGGTTCCCAGCAGATTACCGAAGACAAGCATCACTAGTTGCGGTCAGTGTGCGGGTGGGTGACCACTTGGATCAGTCTGCGTAGGGACCGAGGGTGTACGGTATTGGTTCTCGTTAAACTGTTCTATACTGGGTTCCTTTCTGTTTAATCTTTTGATGATATTAATAGGTTTAGTTTGATCAACTTCGTCTAGTATATTAAACCTTTGGTTATTTTTTAACAAAATTCACCATAGGTTTCATCCATGATTAGGTCTTCTTCTTTATTAGAAGGGGTCGGATTTAGTTGAAATTGCTTTTGAATAGTATCAGCAAAATTATTTAATTTTTCTTCATTTCTGTAGATCTTTACTCTGTAGATATCTACTCTGTAGACAGAGTGATCTCTAGAGCAAAGTTAGGTGACTTAGTCGCGCCGTTGTCCATATCTTTGTTGTTGGTATTTTTTCTTAATATCTTTCTTAATATCTTATATAAGTCTGTTCAGCCCTGTCTTATCGTTGGGATTTCTACACTCTTGCCATTTCTTTCAAACATGGTTTTTATAGCCGATTAATTCTCGTAGTTCTTCTGGGAAAGCCATATAGTTGTTTTTATTTAACTTAGTTTTTGTAGCTTCAGAGTGTGCATCTTGGATTTCCTTCGTTAGGGTGTTAATGGCATTGTCAATATCATCTATTGCGTTTAGTGGATGGTTGCGTATCTTGTATAACATCACCAAGTGTAGCAATAACTGGAACGTGATCACTAGAAAACTCAGTGATAGTATGACAACCCATTAAGAGTGTTGTCGTTTATTATAAAATACTAGTGGGGTGCGCCCCCTGCTCGCTAACGCTCGCCAATCCCCGAAAATTGCTACGAAATCTTATACGGTTTGCTTCGCAAACCAAGCTCGCTTCGCTCGCTACTAACTTAGGTACATTGCAAATGCACAAAATTCTAAGAATTCAAAACAATCATTTAAATCCATATAACAGCTTTTTTTTTAAAAAATAAAATTACATCTTTTTAGTAAATACTAAGTCATTAAAATAAATTTGAATTCAAATAAATGACATGCAATTCGTTAAACCTATTAGAAATGTGCTATAGTATAATTCGTGATATAAATCAAAAAATTACAACAAAAACAAGTGCGACATTGTTTCCTATATATTTTTTACTTTGAATCAAATGAGACTATATACAAGTTAATTAAACGGTAAGTTTAAAAGTTGTAAACACTTTCATATATANATAATTTTATTTTTATTCTTTTGTTAGCTTGCATTCTGAAGGACACTTTCCCTGAATTTTTTTCTTTCGTAAGCTGTAAAACAAACATAAAATATACTGGGGACATGAAAATGACTGTTTTTGTGAGAATGACCCATATACACTTTTCTTTAATTTAAACTTTACTCATAATAAAAAAAATCATTATAATTTTTATTGTATCATTTCTAATACTTGGCGGCACATTTTAAGAATTCGGCGGCACACAAAAGTGCCGCGGCACAGTGGTTGAGAATCACTGGAGTAGGGAATGATTTAGAAATGCTGTTTTAAAATTTTTGTGGCTCAGGGGATAAAGCGTTTTCCTTCCAATGAGGTGAACTGGGCTCGAATCCCAGCAATGGCTGGCAGATACGAATTTCGCACTCGACTCGCAACGACCTTAGTGCTGACGTAAAATATCCTCAGTGGTACACGGATCATAACTTAGAGTCCTCTTGCCGTCAGGCTAACTATGGGAGGTTTTCTTAGTTTTTTCTCCGTGTAACGCAATTACGGGTTAGTTCCATCGAAAAGTCTTCAACGAGGGCAAATTTCTCCCAAAACTTGATCCAGGAATTCCTTTGTCTTCTGGATCGGGTTCAGTATTACAAGGCTATGAAGTTGAGCACTAGTAGTCGTATATCCAAGATCGGGTCGATCCCGCAGTGGACTGATCGTTAAGACACGGTTCCCAGCAGATCACCGAAGACAAGCATCACTGGTTGTGGTCAGTGTACGGGTGGGTGACTACTTGGATCAGTCTGCGTAGGGACCGAGGGTGAGCGGTATTGGTCCTCGTTAAACTGTTCTATACTGGGTGTCTTTCTGTTGTTTAATCTTTTGATGATATTAATAGGTTTAGTTTGATCAACTTCGTCTAGTATATTAAACCTTTGGTTATTTTTAACAGAATACACCAAAGGTTTCATCCATGATTAGGTCTTCTTCTTTATTAGATGGGGGTTGAAATTGATTTTGAATAGTATCAGCAAAATTATTTAATTTTTCTTCATCTCTGTAGATCTTTTTATTTTCATGTAAAATTGTTTTTCCCCCCCTTCTGTTTGGTGGTTTTTAGAGCTCATCTTCCAGACAGAGTGATCTCTAGAGCAAAGTTCGGTGACTTAGTCGTGCCATTGTCCATATCTTTGTTGTTGGTATTTTTTCTTAATATCTTTTATAAGTCTGTTCAGCCCTGTCTTATTGTTGGATTTCTACACTCTTGCCATTTCTTTCAAACATCGTTTTTGTAACCCATTAATTCTCGTAGTTCTTGTGGGAACGCCATGTAGTTGTTTTTATTTAACTTAGTTTTTGTAGCTTCAGAGTGTGCATCTTGGATTTCCTTCGTTAGGGTGTTAATGGCATTGTCAATATCATCTATTGCGTTTAGTGGATGGTTGTGTATCTTGTACAACATCACCAAGTGTAGCAATAACTGGAACGTGATCACTAGAAAACTCAGCGATAGTATGACAACCCATTAGAGTGTTGTCGTTTATTATAAAATATTAGTTCAAGAGATTCGGTTGTTTATGGGGATAAAGGGAAAACAAGTCGGTTCAGTTGGAGCAATAAGCGTTAAGTCCATGAGATGATCATGTAGTTGCTTGTTGGAAATAACGATCTCCAACAACAGTTAAGTACCAACTTAATCACGTGCCCTCACGTCATTTAGACGTGTTAATTGAAAAATATCGGTGTTTTTATTATGTTTTGATTCATCAGTATATAAAGCTGAAAAAATTGTACTAAGGGCTTTCCATTTATTTCCACAGATGTTAAAACTAACATTTGATTTTACAATTAATTCAAAAAGAAAGGGAACTTAGGTCAACTTGTACATCAGAAAATAGGTAAATATTATCATTATTATTTTGTCAAATTTAGAAATGTGTGAAAATTGTTGACTCTAGAGATAATTTCACATCGATTTCCAATCTATGCTTCAGTTTCTTTATGATTATTGGTCTACGAGAAGCTCAGTTCGTTAAGCAAAAGTTATATTGATTTTTGGAACAAACTAACATTCCAAGATAATTTTAGCAATCAAGTATTTTTTTTTTTAGTAGTAGAATATTTACACTTTCGTAAGATTTCAAAAATTCAAGATATTTATTAATTTTACCATGAGTGATATAAAAGTACAGTGCATTTTTCGATATTATTAATGACTAAGTAGGCAAAATCTTGTTCATGAAGTTTCTTATTTGGAAAAACAGGACAGCCATTTTTCTGAAATAAAAAATAAATAAATAAATATTTGAATTATGTTAAAACATAGGATAGTCAGAATAACTAGAGTAAAATATTTGATACTTATCGGACAAAATTATAATTATCGATTGTTTTATTACTATTATTTTTATTATTTCCCTTTACTTCCAACTTTTTTCCCCGCAAAACCTAATAAAAACACATGCTGTTTGAAAGACAAAATTTTACGCACTCAATATTAATGAAAGTATGCAATAGTTTAACTATTAACTCACTTACTGTGGTATCCCAAGTCAAAATTCTTGAGGGTCCCAGCAAAACATTTTGATGGTTTATATTGGTTTCAGAGCGATTCATGATGGTCCAACGTCGTTTGATGGTCACCATTATCCAACATTTCCCATTATGTGTGCATGGTTTTTGATATGCCAACAAACTTCCATCATTCCATGATCGAAAATGATACTTTAATGTTATACACTGAAGAGCCAAAAAAACTGGTATACCTGCCTAATATCGTGTAGGGCAGCCCGTATGGAAAGCCCATATCGATGATGTTTCGTTGAATGGTTCGCACGCTGACACTTGTTGATGGTCCAGCATTGAAATCTGCTGCAATTTGTGGAAGGGTTGCGCGTCTGTCACATTTAATGATTCTCGTCAATCGTCGTTGATCTCGTTCTTGCATGATTTTTTTCCGACCGCAGAGATATCGTAGATTTGATGTTTTACCGGATTTCCGATACTCACGGTATACTCGTGATATGGTCGTACGTGAAAATCCAAATTTCATTGCTATCTCGGAGATGCTATGTCCCATCTCCCGTGCGCCGACTATAACACCACGTTCAAACTCACTTAAATCTGTATAACCTGGCATTGTAGCAGCAGTAACCGATCTAAGAGCTGTGCTAGACACTCGTTGTCTTATATACGCGTTGCCGATTGCAGCGCTGTACTTTGATTGGTTGCATACCCCTTTATTTGCATACTCATGGCTGTACCAGTTTTTTTGGCTCTTCAGTGTAATATAGTTAACCATCAAGAGAAGTTTGATTCTCATGGACCAACAATCCATGATGGTTCCAGCTATACATTTCCATGATGATTTAATGGGAATTCTTGTTGGTTCTCAGGAATATACCATCAAAACAATTTTTTATTTTTTTAGTTTTTATATTGGATCATCATAAATCAGTTCGAATTTCCACATTGGGATGATGGTTGTTCATGATCGTTCCAACACTTGATTTCTAAGAAACTATGATGGAAATTTCTGATGGTTCAACATGAAAAAACCATAGCAACGAGTTGCTATTTTTATGTTGGACCATTATAAATCAATCCGAATTCCTACTTTGGGTTGATGGTTTGATAATATGATGGAATTATTGATCGTTACCATCAAGATTATGTTGGTCCATTAATGGAAAACCATCAAAAATTTTGACTTGGGATATCAGGCGCAGTGACCATGAGCTCTCATTTTGAAAAACCAGTATTCGCTTCCCACGGCTTGAAGCCTATCCAGCGTCTGTATGATAAGTAAAGTCGACTGGCGCACAATGCTGATTCACATTGCCACCGCCATTTGTCTTGAAATTGTGGCCTTAACAATCAGCTTACTCAAACATTAGCCTACAAACTGGCTTTTAAGAGACACGGTGGCTCAGTGATTGAGGGTTCGCCTCCCACTGAGGCAACATAGGTTCAAATTCCAGCTGTGGCTGGTTGATACGAAGTTTATTCCCGGACGCATCATCTACCGTGCTGATGTAAAATATCCTACGGTAGACGGAACATGGGTTAGAATCCCCATACTTTCTATCTACCCGTGGCAGGTTTTCGTGGTTTTTGTGGGTTGGGTTCGAAATTACAAGGCTACGGTGTTGAACAGTAATAGAAGTAAACTCAAAATTTAGTCGGATGTTCAAAACCGATCATAAAAAGAAAAAAAAAGTTTGCTTTTGTAGGGTTCTTTAATTTCAACTGTTGCATAAGTAAACGTTTAAAAGCACTGATTTTAAAACGATTTAATTCTAAATTGTGATGATCATTATTTTTGCAGAAAAGTTGAGTATATTTTGAAGGTTAGCATGCTGTATGATCGATTATACAGTTATCTTTTTTTTTCTATCATTTTTCGGGAGATTTTTCATTCAAATATTTTTATTTTAAAGATTGCAAAAAGTAAAAGGAATGATAGTCAATAATAATCAATAAATTATATTTTTAATTAGTTGTTTAAAAACAGATTTGTTTTCGTATGCTCTGCTCTAAAATGGTGTACTAATAATTGTTACAACATGAGCGACATATTGAAAAAGAAATGCTTTGAAATTCTGGTACAATTATTTAATTAATCAAAAACTATAAAATAATTCAAAGAAATTTTAAGAAAATCTGGAATTTTATTAGGTGAAAATTCAAGTTATGGAGCTGACGTTAGTTTCAGAAATGCTGATTTGAAAAAACGTCATTTCAAGTTTTTATAAGCGTTTTTTTTTTCAATAAAAAATTTCCTTCATTTTTTTAAAATTTTTTACTTACATTAGATTCAGCTTATAGTATTTTTAGGAAAATGTAGCGTCAATTTATAAAAATTTGCAAATTATTTACTCGATTGGAAAACTTCTTTTGATACAACAATACACAGATTGGAAATAACAGTAGGTATGTTTCAAGCGCTCAAAAACAGGTGCTCATTTTCAAGACTTGCCAGATGTGAATGAGAAGAAGCAAAAATTATTTGAAAGTAATTTTGTAAATCACTTAATCAAAAGAAATAAAAGTGATTTCAAATCACTTTTGTTTCTTCTCATTCACATCTGGCAGGTTTTAAAAATGGGCACCTAGTTTCGATCGCTCGAAACATGTCGACTGTTATTTCCAATCTGTATATTTTTTAAACGAACGAAGTTTTTTAATCAAGTAATATCTTACCACTTTAGTTTCTTTGAATTATTTATTTAATAACTTATTTATTTATTGAAAGTTTCCTATAACTGGTTTCTTTTACCAAGCATTATATTACTTCAATATGTAATCGATAGCAAAATTTGCATAAACTTATTCTTCTATATATGCGTCGATGAAAAATGTCTTTTTTCATTTATACCAATTTTAATAAGTATCAAATGCATGTGGGGAATCATATTGAAGTACAACAAATGGCATCATTAATTTTAATTTTTGAAAAATTGTCAATAGCATTGCGCACCGGCCGCCCTCACTTCCCAGGTAAATTGGTGCCAATTCATCTGAAGATGGAATAATAAAAAAAGTATTTAATAATAATTACAGTAATAATAATACTAATATTGTAAAATTTATAATAATGAAGAGTTCGAATCCCGCTTAGGGCATGGATGTTTCTCTGTGTGTTGTCTTCTATTGTGAGTCATATGTGAATGTGGCCCATCCTATGGACGGATATATGTGGCATTGTGACTTGGGTAATGTTGCTCGCCTCTGTGATTTTCACAGGTGCCCACTGGGTTACGTTAAATGAGCAACATTTCCGGCATTTTCCGAGGCGAAGTGCGAAAGTTCAGTACTTGCCGTTAATACTACTACTACTACTACTAATAATAATAATGAAGAATCTAAATACCTACTGTGCATGTAATTTCAAAAACCTCTGACTTTATCGATATCTTCTTCTGTGTTCCACATTTTCGAACACTGTAAATAACGAAAAACTCATTCTTTATTATGGTTTTATGTCATTAGTGTAGTTTTACTTTGTGAAGTTGTGTTAAAAGATATAAAAATTAATAATAACAATGAAAATCAAATTTTTCCATAACTATACAAAAGAGAAAAAATGACTCACCATTAGAGACGAGCTTTTGAGTTTTCTTTTTGCCGGAAAACCTAATATTTCGTTAGAATTTAAATAATTTATTATATTCGTATAAATTTAAAAGATTTAGTAATCGGCACTTCACTATCACTCATCTTTATTTATTTATTTTTCAGATTATGTGAGCTTATGGAACTGTTGTTTATTCTTATTAAAAAACTGAAGAAAAACTGACAAAAATGCAAATGAAAATACGACACTAAAAAAAATTCCAATACTAATTTTGGGAAATTGGTCAAGTCAATTTTTATGCACAATTGCTGGCAAGGCGTGGAAATAAAATTTAGGTATGCAAAATTTGGTTCGAAAAGTTGGAGATAATTTACTGATCTTAAGCTTACTTTTGAATGATTATAAGCCAGAACTCGCATTTAAAAAATGCAGTTAAAAATGCATTGAATTGAAGATGAAGTATAATAATTGAGTTAAAAATTGAAATGGAAGTATAAATATATTTTTTAATTTTCAAATTAAAACTTTAGTAAACTGCCTCTGCGGGGAAAATGATATTACTTAAACTATATAATTAACATTGGAAAAGTAAACACTAGAAAAATGGCTACTTTCCGAACGAAACTTTTCAAACTTTTTCACTTATCAAAACTTTCTGATACATACCAAATGAGATCCTTGTACAGCATTTTAGTCGTCTTTATGTATTGTTCTAAATTATCTTCATACTGATTCATATTGCCCCCGATGCATAAATGCTTAAATATTCGAAAAATGAATTCATTTCTTTCCTCTTCAGAATACAAGCAGTAATGCTCAGATTCTTGAAGTAATAACATCGATCTCAGTTCATCAGCTATGGTAATGCCATCTACATATTCTTCATAGCTCTTTCTTATTGTACCATCGGAAATAGCAATATTTGCCTTGAATATTTTATCAAAGAAATCCATACTCAAAACAGTACAAGGCAAAGCTTTCACATCAATTTTCATTGAGTTGTCTTTTGAGAAATCCTCTGGCAATGAACTACAATTAAGAGACTCTCTTACAACTGGTGACAGGAAAAAACACTGAAAAATAAAGAGATTTTATTTTTAAAATTTGTTATTTTATGTATTTTAAGACACTTTTTTTACGACGCTTAATATCTAACATTTTAAACAAGTGTGTTAAACGGCACGATTGAAACAAATGGAAAGGACTTAAAATTTTTCAAAATTCTGTTTTCTTGTTCAGAAAGCAATCTTAACAGTATTTATGTACTTGAATTTCATTAAGTTACTTTAAAATACCTGTATTACATAATTTATCTAGATTGTTCTTTATATATTTAGATTATAAGGTTATAAGTTTCTTCAGATTTTTTGCATAACGCAATCAATATGAGCTATATTTTAAGTACTTTTTAAAGGGAAACTTAATTAATAAAGTGGTGAAGAGTAAAAGATTAGCAAAAATGAATTTGTATTGAATATCGTATTGAAAAATCTTGTTGTCATAAATACGAGGGTTGTAAATTAAATAGTGGCAACTTAACGTTGAAACTCACAGAAGGGCGGGCATGCGCAAATAGGATATGGGAGCGGTGAGGTGGCGCTGTTGTCGATGTGTAGAGTGCAAAAAAAAAGCGATCTGCTTAGAAGGGTAGTTGTTGTGTGGCGTTAAAGTGAGGAGTTTCGTTTCCATCGCTCTAAAGCATGTTGTGAAAAGGCTTAATGACGAAAAAAGACGAGATGCTTGAATCCATCGTGCTACTGTCCTATATGGTAAAGCATTTGCTCTAAAGGCTTCCACTAATCCTCGATAGCATTCTGTTGCATTTTTGCCACGGGCAACCTCGATTGTAAGCCACGACCGCTGATCACCTTTTGAAAACATGCTTTAGAGCGATGGAAACGAAACTCCTCACTTTAACGCCACACAACAACTACCCTTCTAAGCTAATCGACTTTTTTTAGCACTCTACACATCGACAACAGCCCCACCACAGCTCCCATATCTAATTTGCGCATGCCCGTCCTTCTGTGAGTTTAAAGGTTAAGTTGCCACTATTTAATTTACAACCCTCGTATTTAAGCAGAAAATCGAAGGATAACTGAAAAAGCTTGTAACCTCTATTTCCTCAAATTATTAATTAAGTAGTCAATATTTTCCCCTATTTACTGTCACTTTTTTCCCCTATTTATTTGTTGAAATAAATATGTTCTATAGCACCTAGTCGATAAATTTCAAATCTTAAGTTTGTAAATATTTCTAAAACTTTAAATTTGGAAAAGTTTTAAAACTGCTTACAACCTCAGAAATTAAAATTTAGTAACAAGGTTCAATGAATAAAATGAAATAAAATATATTATTTAGTTTCTTAGTAAATTGAGTTCACATTATTCTCCGTACGTTAATATGGATAATCTCTTTCTTGCCTGAAGAAGACCTTTCAATATAATGATAACAATAAAATAAAATAAAATAAAATAAAATAAATGTTCCTATAGAAAACAAGATCCCCTTTCGAGGCACGTTTTCAAGCACGCACAGTATGCGAATTGCCAAACCATACCATAGATTATAAACGTGGCGATTGCAGGTGGAATTGGCGACGGACCACCGAAGTCAAGCATCACTGTTTGCGGTAGTGTGCGGGTGGGTGACCACTTGGATCACTCTGCGTAGGAACCGGGGGTGTGTGGTATTGGTCCTCGTTAATCTGTTCTACAGTAACTTCGCGTGCAGGTCGTCAGGCTACCGAATCGGGGGTGCCATCCCCTCTGCAAAATTGTGATGGCATGTCTTCGGATCATCCTCAGGGGTGTTTCCCAGACCGTCGCCAATAGCCCATCGTGCAGCTCTAGTGCGACGTAAATTAACTACAACAACAACAAGATTTTTTTCACTCATTTTTCATTCAATAAAGTGTTCACAGAATTACTTAATGAAAAATACATAAGAAATATTTCATGAAAACAATAAATGTGGAAAATATAAAGCATGTGGCTCAATTAGTTTAAGCAAGAATATAAGATTTCAGGCTCTATTATTTATTGAGTGTAGGTAAATATTCCGTCATATTTGAGGGAGGTTTGAGCTCATCACAAAGTGGCGAATTCAAAAAACTTTTAAAAAAATTTTAAGCCAATATTTTTATCTTTAATGAGAAGACTTGATTAAATTCATTAACAAAAGGAAAGAATTTTTTGCAGGAAATTAACTAACATTATTCATATTGTTTGAAACATATTCTTTTTGAATTCTTTTCCCTAATTCAATGCATTCATTTACAAATTTATCTATTATTTGTAAAACTCTATTATTTATTGAGTGTAGGTAAATTTTCGTCATATTTGAGGGAGGTTTGAGCTCATCACAAAGTGACGAATTTAAAAAGCTTTTAAAAAAATTTAAGCCCATATTTTTATCGTTAATGAGAAGACTTGATTAAAATCATTAACAAAAGGAAGGAATTTTTTGCATGAAATTAGCTAATTCAAATTGTTTGATTCTGTTTGCATTCTTTTCCCTAATTCAATGCATTCAGTTACAAATTTATTGAAGGGAGTACACAACATTTTCGAAATTAAAATATTTTGTTAACATTTCTATAGATGGCACCACCACAGAAATTTCTCTCTTTTTTTAATTGAAGCTTTTCTTTCCATTCCTAACCTTTGAGAAAGGATACGATGTACGAATTATCAAAAAACTTAAAAACCAGATCATTACTTTGTAGGAACAAATTACTAAAGATTGATGAGATTATTTTAAATCTTTTCAATAAAAGCCGAAAGAAAGCAATCACACAAATAAAGGCCTAGCATAAATAATTCATGTAGTTTCATTATAAATATGTTTTGTGGTAAAATTTGTATAAGATTTTTGCTCTATTGTTAACAACCTGCAGCTGCTGTAAGTTAACAACCAAGTTTGAAAATTGAAATGAAATATATGAACAGTAAGAATATTTTAAACTTTCGAAAATCGTTACAACAGTCACCAGCATGCCAATATCAAGCTTTCTGTGATAATAATGTGGTTTGACAAACAAATCACGTATTAGAACATTCATTCTCTAAATGGGATTCTACGGCATAAATTTTTTACAATTATTTCCAAATTTTGCTCATTAAATTGCATTAATTCTTACACAGTTGAAAATTCAGAAACGACTAGCTTTAAGGCATTTTAATATTTTTTTGAAATACAATTTTTACAATTTATTTGCAACCTCAGAGATTCAATTTACATCCATTCTGTAAGTATTTCTACATTTATATAACAGATACTTTTTTCATTAAGTTTTCCCTTTCAGACCAATTTTTTTAAAAAATTTTATGGAATATTTTTAAAGTTATAGCTAAAAAAACGTAAGACAAAAAATTATTTATTTATAAAAATGTCTATACTTCCATAAATATTTAAACTTGGTTTACGAAATTTTGTGTAATCATTGCATATAATAACCAAAATAATTGTCACAAGTTACAAATCTATTGTTACATTTTTTGGCATAAGGTGTTTAAACGCATTATTTTCCGTTTGTAATTTATTATCGGTCCCTCAAATCTTTAAATTTCATTGATATGTATGAGAAATCGCATGTTCTAAACACTTTTGAAGTTATAAAATAATTCGTTAAGTCTTTCTGTAGAAATATGAAAAAGTAGTCTAGAAGTGTTTTCATTATTTTGCCCACCTCCGTGTGTGTATCTTTATATATATATTTCGTCTGTTCGTGTGTATGTCACTGAACTCCTCCTAAACGGCTGGACTGATTTAAATGAAATTTTCTGTGTACCTTCAGAAGGATTCGAGAATGGTTTAGATTCACAATAGAACATTCTGCCACAAACCGTTCCAGCGGTATCAGCGAAAATCGAAATGGAATTTTCTGATTGGTTAAAAGTTAGCCATTGTTTTAAATTTTGCTGTACACGAATCAGTTTTCAAATATCTTGAAGATAACAACAGTGATATTTTCTATCTTATAGCTCTATTCTTTTAGAAAAGTAAAT